CTGGGGCCTTTAGAGAAAGCTCCAAGTGCCTGAAATCACCTTTGATCCTGTGCGAGTTCATCTGAGTTGAACACAATATAGTCACAGTCTAGGACCATTAAACCTGGGGCTGGTGGGGGAAGAGGCAGACGTGAGAACCACAGAACTATGCGGCCTCCGTTCTTCCCAGCTGAGGGGCTGTGAGGCTCCAAGTCATCTCATGGTCAGGGCTCCTTTCTGCCCTGTCGCAACCCTTCTTGAGGTCACTGCATGCAGACGTGGTGGGACAGAGAGACCCTCCTTGTTTGCAAAGTCCTCACCAGCCCTCTCGGGGGCTGAAAAATTGCCCTTCTGGTCTGAAACCAGTATTTCAGAAGCTCCGCTTGAGAGACATTGTGTGTCTTGGAAGACAACCTGCCATCCAGGCAGGATCTCTGAATTGTGTTCAGGGTCCCCTAATGGTTGCTGTGGATGGGAAGGACCAATGTCATCAGCGTCGCTGGTCCCTGCCTCCATCCCCAGTGGTTCTTGGTTATCTAAGCAATCTCTGCAGTCCTGCTTCCTGTCTCCAAACCATACATAACCTTGGACTTACCAGCCTTCTTTGGAAAAGAAAATCTCAGCTTTTTCACACAAGACATGAGCACAGCCTGACGTGCCAGACAAACAGGAGTGTATTCAAATTTCTGGGAGGCCATTTGTTCATGTCCCCTCCATTCTGCCTTTCTCTGCAGACAGCTGTCCTCACACTTAGCCCAGAAACCCTGTAAAGTCCCAGGGCTCTTCTGGACCCCTCCTTTGTGCATATAAAACCTGACACAAATGAGGAGTCTACTATATCTGGTACTAACCACTGAGTGATGTGGTCTTCCCAGCCCTGTGCAATCATTTCCTGGGTATGGGAGGCATATTTAAATTAGGAAACATAAACACTTCCTATTCTGAGGTCATTTGTTCAGAATTTTAGTTTCCTAGATTTTGTTTGAAATGTTTCCTGCCTGACTAACATGCTCAGTTCTTTGGATCCTGAGTTGCCCATTTTTCTTTGGAGGCTGGGGGCAGGGCGGGCCCACACTGGGAGGCATCAGGCAAGATGGCCCAGCTGCTCCAGTTCCTGCACTGGGAGTCAAACAACTACAGATAGATCTACCATACAATCCAGCAATCCCACTTCTAGGTATATACCCAAAGGAATGGAAATCATTATGTCAAAGGGATACCTGCATTCCCATGTTCATCACAGCTCTATTTACAACAGCCAAAATATGGAACCAACCTATATGCCCATCAATGGATGACTGGATAAGGAAAATGTGGTATATATACACTATGGAATACTAAGTTGCCATAAAAACCTGATAAAGGGCATCTTTCATGGGTTGATATTCTTTTGCTTTTTTAAATCGGGCATTTTTTTTTTCTTTTTATTTACAGAAGCTATGTGGAGGTGGTGATCTGAATGCTTCTATGACATCTCAACAGTTTGAAGAACATTCTGTGAGTGGCATTTCTTAAAAACAAATACTAAAGTAATTATGTTAAATATTTCTCAATCAAATGTTTGGGTTTTTATTTCTATGCCGCTTTTATTTTTAAAGAATGGCAAGCTGTATCCACCTACCAAAACAGGCTTGCACATTTTAGCTGGAAGAGATTAATTCAGTGTCTATTGATTTGTAAGACTGGGATAGTCTTCTAAAAATACAGAGAAGCTATGAAATTGAGTGAGATTGTAAAGGAGACAAAGCTATTTTGAAGTGCTCTGAAACTTTCAAAAGAATGTCAAGGCCAGCTTAGCCACAGGATCAATTAATTGAAAGTCTAATAAGTGAATGATAAATGATTTTGTCTGTCCTTTTTGAGGAAAGGCAGAAATTTGAACTGTCTCAAAACTTCAACTGGATTCATGTAATAAACATTCAAAAATAGACTTGAATTCAACATTGTGCCTTGTAGGAGTTGGTGCATTCCTGGAGATAGAAGTGACTGAGCTGGGGGGAGGTGATGTGACGTTGAGGGTAAGAGTAGGAGACACCAATGCTAGGTTCCAGAAAATGAGATACAGTGTAGCAAAGTCGGGAGAGCAATGGACAGAGACAGTGTGTCCCCTGTGGACACAGGGGAGAAGCTCATGTGGGATGGACACACGGGCTCACAAGGGGATCAGCTGAGTGTGGAGAACTGAAATTTTATTGCACGTGGAGGAGGTCTACCAGAGTAGATGGTGGTTGGTGGGAAGGGTGGGGAAGAAGAGGGAGACATGTGACATCTGTGCTTGCAAGTGTGGACACGTGTGTGTGCTAGCCAGGCCCTTCCCTGCAGCTGCAGTTCTGCACACGGTTTCCTGTCTGCACTCCATAGTGAGGTTTGGGATATGGAATCCTATGGTAAATTACTGAGTTTAAGAGCATTTCGGAGGTTGACATACTACTTATAGGTAAATTACTGAGTTTAAGAGCATTTCAGAGGTTGACATACTACTTATCTAATTCTTGGAGAGTTAATCTTGCAGAAATACGTGATGGCTTCTGAATTCTGATAAAATCCCACTGGGGATACATGTAATCATGTTATCAAAGTGCTGGGAGTTGGAGATAATACTTGACCATATAGTGACCTTTATTTACCCCCTTAAATTAAGAAGTGTCTTCGAAATTCTCTTGTTTGGGCCCAAGCTATACTGACTTACCTGCTTTCTCCATCTATGCAGATTCTTGGGGAAGCGGGTGATGGCTTGAGTAACCTCCCCAGCCCTTTCGCGTACCTGCTCACCATACACCTGAAGGAAGGTCGGAATCTGGTGGTCAGAGATCGCTGTGGTAAGGCCTAGGCTCTCTACGCTGTTCGTATCATGAAAATATCTTTCTCTGTCCTTTTTTTTTTGGTGGCTGGCTGGTAGGGGATCTGAACCCTTGAACTTGGTGTTATCAGCACCACGCTCTAACCAAGTGAGATAAATGGCCAGCCATCTGCCTACCCTAGTATCAATGTTGTTGGTCAACATGTTTCATCTCAGTGTGGTTTAGAACAGATGGAGGTCAAGTCTAAGGTTTCCATGTATAAGACATTTGCAGCAAATTATTTAACCACACTGAACCATACCATCCTTTTTTATTACTAAATTAATAATACTAATAATCACATAAAGTTATTTTAAAATGAAATGTAATAACTATGATAGCTTTATGCCTGGTAACTGCTCAAGAAAATGTTCCTTTACTCCTACTTCTTTAATTATCCATGAGAAAGATGTGAGTACACCCTTAGTATCAGGTCATCCACCATACAAATTGATGAAAGTGCCTTTAAACCACCTCCCTTCCGGAACGCTCCTACACTGTTGGTGGGACTGTAAATTAGTACAACCACTATGGAAAACAGTATNTATATACCCAAAGGAATGGAAATCATTATGTCAAAGGGATACCTGCATTCCCATGTTCATCACAGCTCTATTTACAACAGCCAAAATATGGAACCAACCTATATGCCCATCAATGGATGACTGGATAAGGAAAATGTGGTATATATACACTATGGAATACTAAGTTGCCATAAAAAAGAGTGAAATTCTGCTATTCACAGCAACATGGATGAGCTTGGGGTAAATTATGTTAAGTGAAATAAGCCAGACACAGAGGGAAAAATACTGCAGGTCCTCACTCATAAGTGGGAGCTAGGAGAGAAAGAAGGAAGGCAAGAAAGACCACAGTGGTGCGTCGGACTTGCAGAGGGAGAGAGCAGACCTAGGGTTGCAGAGGAGGGTGGGGAAAAGGGGGAGGGGGAGGGAGGTTGGGGATTAATTGGGTGGGGGACACGGGAACAATCGCAATTCATAATAACGGGCATGCTACTAGTATTAATCTGGCCATCACATCTTGGGCACAAGTGGTGACAGTCAGCTTTGTACGCCATGAATATTCATAACCAACAGAAAAAAATAATTAATTAATTAACTAAATAAACCACCTCTCTTCCATCTTGAAATCCCCCTGGACTCCCTCTAAGAGCTGTTATTTGTGATAGTTTTGTTCACCTTCTACACATATCTTTATACATTTCCGTGTGTGTGCGTGTGTGTATACCTATATATTTTTCTAAATTTAGATAATCTGTATTGTCCATATTGTTCTGCAATAGCTTTCTTTTTTTTAACTTTACAACATGTCTTCAAGATTGATTATGATTTTTTCCATGTCTTCTTTCTTTTAAATACCACATAATACTGCATAGTATAATTTTTTATTTATTTGTTCCACTAATGAAGATAGCTGCTTTTTTGTTTTTGTTTTTGTTTTCCAGCAGTACAAACAATGCTGTAAGGAGCATACTGTATATGCCTCTGTGCACAAAGATATACCTTTGATAAAGTACACCTAACACGTGTTTAAGAGGGGACAGTGACGCCAGACTGCCTTGGCTTCTCCATTTATTGCTGTGTGATTTTAGAAATGTTCCTTGACCTCTCTATACCTTACGTTCCTCATCTGTAAAATGAGATAGTAATGTTAACCTATCTTATAAGCTACTAGGAGCATTGTAGGCAATAACTTAAAGTGTCCAGTTTTTGTTTGAGTTTTTTCTTTTAAATTGTTGTAATTCTTCATAATTTTAAGTATTAATATTTGTGTGTTGTATATTGCAAATATTTTTCTCTAAGTCTGTTGCTTATCCGTAATTTTACAGCCTCCTTTGTCCTTCAGAGGTTTTTAAATTTCATACATCTTTGTTTTCTTTATTATTATTTTTTAAAAATTTATTGTGTTTAGTAGTGGAGGCCTTTTTCTTCTACAGAGTTCTGTGTGCTGTCCCCGGTCTCGGCCAGTTTCCCCTGTCACTTCCTCTCTGCTCTGTCTGGTGTGCAGAACCTTTTCAATGAAGGAAGGGCCTCTTGCCTCTTTGAGCTGTCTTCTGTGTCTCTTAGCTTCTCTTTCTTGTTCTTCCCATGACTTTTTCCTTTCAGGAAGAATTCCTTGGCTTGATCTTCTAGTTTGTTCATTATTATTATTATTTTTTGTCAATTGTTAACATTGTGCTATTCTGTTTATTTATTGAGTTGTCATTTAAACTCTTTTTTTTTTTTATAACTGCCCATTTTTGTTTTATGCCACCTCTTTTTGAGAATATTACATATCCATTTAAAATGTCCCGCTGGGCACTCCATCTCTTGGATATCAGTTTATTGTATTCTCTGCCTCTCTTTTAGCATATTAGTTTCTTTTGCACATAGGACTCTCTGAAGAGGTCTGCTCATCTTTACATTTGTGTGTCCTTATTCCCCGTCTGTGGGGGCTGTTTTTTCTCTCTGTGTCCGTCCCTCAGGGATGGTGAGGAGGGTTGGGACAGGCAGCTGGACAGGGTGAGTTGCACATCGGACTCTCTGAAGAGGTCTGCTCATCTTTACATTTGTGTGTCCTTATTCCCCGTCTGTGGGGGCTGTTTTTGCTCTCTGTGTCCGTCCCTCAGGGATGGTGAGGAGGGTTGGGACAGGCAGCTGGACAGGGTGAGCTGGTAGTTCAGACTGGGTTCATTCCTCCTAGTTGTCACCTGCCACCTAAAGAGTTTCTTTCTGGCTTGCTGCCTGTGCTCTTTGTTCCTACTTGTCCTCAAGTCCCCTTGCTGGTCATGGCTTGGCTCAAGGGAAAGGGCAGTGCCAGCCCATCCAGCTGCTCTGTGTGTGCTACACCTGCTGGTCACGCTGAGGTTGCTCAGGCCATCTTCTGCTTCTCAGATCTGCTGCCTCCAAGTCTGGGCATTCCTGGTTCACCTGCCACATACTCCCCCATCCCTCCATCTACTGCTCATGTTTCGGGCTATAGATTCTTTCATTAATCTGATGTCACCTGACTTCCATCTTTCAGAGCTGTATGAACTGTGTCCTTTTTTTTCTCCTTAAACAAAATTTCTCTCTCTTGCTCATATTTTCTCAGATGTGGTATTTCAAAATAGCGGTAGCTGGTAAATAGTGTTTTCTATCAAAATAATAATTTCTTAGCTATCAGTTGTGCCCTTCTTGTGCTTTGTTACTATTATACACATATCCACTTTAATAGATGATCTCCTATGTTATTTTAATGATTTGGGACAGATAGCATTTTATGCCTAAAATAAAGTCTGAGAGACATGATCATAAATCAACATAAAGTTACCTCCCACAAAGGTCCCGATTCTTGCTCAGAACCTACACAGTGTCCAGTGGATGCTCTGTTACATGATGCCACTGTCAAGTTCCTTTTGTGACAGCTTATCTAGAGATTACAAGAGTGTTCTAGAGAGAGTGTATTTAACTTAACTAAGAAGAAGGTGTTGTAAACCTTATACATGTCCTAATTTAAATTTTTGGAATTCCCCCAATAGTAAGTAACTTTGGGGATGTGCATAGGCCCTGGACCTCCTCTCTGGGTCAGCTGTCCTTTTCCAGTTTTTCCCATCTTTTTTTTGTTCTTTGTCCCTTATTAGTGTAAGTTATCAGATGACACCATCCTTGATATTTAACAGTGATACAGTTAGTTACAGAAGATTTCTAGTAGATGGTCAGTAAACTTGTTAGATGATGAAGCCCTTGCACATATCAGAAAATGAATGAAACAGTAGGGTTTATGTGCACTTGCTCTATACTTGATGTTTTAAGACCAAAGGAGAGAGCATAGTCTGTGCTTTAACCCCAGCCATGGTGATCTCTATCTGCATAGTTTCATCAGAGTTAAAACATCATGTGAGAATTTGGCTTTTGTTTTGTATAAACCTAATATAATCCAAGTATGTATACCTAATAAAGAGTCTAGGTCATAGACTGTGCTGTTTCAGCACCGATTTCTTTAGAAACCAGTAGTGTTTGTTCTTGTCCATTTTCTTTTATTTATTGGGAGGATTAATCATTATCTATTAAGAAAATAACCCAATCCCAGCGAGTTCTTTTTTTATATCATGGGGTATAGTGTTCCTTCCCGTACTGTGATTATGTTAATTTCTGCTTGATTATCACAAGCATAAGTTAGTGAACAGGGTATGAACAAGAGCCCACTCAAGGCAAGAGAGCATCTGGGTGTCCACTGTAAACTTAAGCAGGGGTCATAATTGCTGGTACATGTGGCCCGTCTCCTGCCTCCTTTTTCTAGGACTGATATTGCTTATCTAATGATAAGCAGCATCGTTTTCTATGGAATCCAACCCAGCCTCAGAATTCTATCTGATCCAGTCCTTTAGACCAATAGTTCTCAAACTTGAATGAGAATCAGAACATCCTGGAGAACTTATAAATATATACTTTGCTGAGCCCCACACCCTGAGTTTCTGATTAAGTGGGTGTGGGGGGCCTGAGAATTTGTATTTCTAACAAGTTCGTAGGAGATGCTGATGGCGCTGCTCCAGGGACCCCACTTTGAGAACTGTTGCTCTGGGCAGCCACAGTGTTGCTGCTGGCGCTTGAGAAGAAACACATGCTTCTCCTGGTAGGGAGACTGTCACCTCTTGATCATGTTAGCTACGGCACTTTATTTTCCTGGGGCTTTATCTCATTACCTGTGTATTCTCCAGCACTGGCTTCAAGCTTTATTTAATTCGTATGCACTGAACATAATTTCATTTGGTATTAGCTCAATTTGGTATTAACATAATTAGGTACAGAAAACTGTGGGATATGCCAAAGTACTGTACATAAAAGGCTTTTTGAATTATCTATGCATTTACAATATTCTATATAACATATTCCCCAGTTCTATGGATATAAGACCAATAGCTGATTGTTGCAATACTAAATATCCTTCAATATCTATTCAAACTAAATATCCTTCAATATCTATTCAAACGGCACTTCTCT